CCGCCGCCGCCGCCGCTGCTGCTGCCACCGCCGGGACGCACGAGCGTTAGCATGACGTTTCGCGGTTTGCCCCTGCGGGGAAACTTGGTTGCCGGGATCCCAGGACCGGACATCATGTTCTCGAAGAGGGCCTCTCGGTCCTGGAGGACGCCAAGAAAGCAAAGAATGGTTCCGAAAGAAAGAAGGGGTGAACAAAAAAAAAAGGCAAGGAATAGTGCGGTATCAAAAGAATTTGGAGAAAGCGAAGAAAGCAAAGAACGGTGTCACAAGAAAGGAGGGAGGAAACAAACAAGAATAGTAACGAGTTGTTCATTCTCAAAAGAGTTTTCCGGTCCTGGAGAAAGCGAAGAAAGCAAAGAACGGCCCAAAAAAACGAGAGGGAGCAAAAACAAAAACAAGGAAGGGGTGGTCGATTCTCGAAGAGGGGTTTTCGATCCCCTCGGTGGAAAAGAACAATCATGGCAAGGTCCGCGCAACGAGCTAGGGTATCTCCCCCAAGTAATGCGTGTGCTCACAGGCCAGTTGTTATGGAATATTTTCCAAGATGGGGATCCCGATTTTACGCATTTTACGTACAAACCCACATGCGGAAAGTACGAGGAAGTCGACAAGCCAAGGCTGACCTCGAAACAAACACTGGTTGTTCAAATACAAGCAAGTTGCAAGCGCGGGAGGGCGCCACTGATGATACCATCAAGGGGACGCATGGTAGATAAATGGATGGATGGATCGATCGATCCTACACACCCCCCAAGTTGCTACGCATACAGGGTGGGAGAGGTGTGTGCTCATGTAAACGCATGCCGTGCTGTAGTCGTTAGACCATAGAACTCGCATCCCTACAAAGCCGGGAAGGAGCGATATGTCGGATTTTCGACGGCCCAGGATACGTACGTAAGTTTCACAAGGACGAACCAGGAGCTGGTCATCATCCTTGCATTTGCAGCGCCAATCCAGATGTGCCATTACCGTATATGACACAAGATAACACACCCCCTGGACCGATTGTCAAAGCTCGATTACTCCACGACGAAGAGGATGCATAAACGAAGTGATACATTTTCGAAAACCTCTCGACGAGACGGTTTCAACGCCGCCGTTTTCGGCGCTGTGACTGTTCCTGCAGTTGAGAAATCGAGCTTCGAAAAATCGGTCAATGGGGGTGTGTTATCTTGTGTCACATACGTTAGTTGATCGGGCATGCCAGCTAGGTAACCAAACGAACTTAAGTCACATTCGGCAGGCATGACTATACTTGACTATACAATGTACTGTACAGTGTACTTCCAAGTACCGCAAGGACGGGACGTTGGAAACAAACCCACACACCTGAACAAGCTTGAGCATGTCGTCCACGGTGGCATCCCCGAACGTCGACGGCTCCATCTTACCGCGGCCCCCCCGCGTGCTACCCCCTACCCCCCCCCCTCCAACCGCTGCTGCTGCTGCTGCTGCTGCTGCCATCTCCGCCGGCCTCGAGAGGCCTCTCGCCGGAGCACCCCCGGCACCTCCGAGCGACGACATGCCTGCTCGTGCAGCGGTTGCGGGAGCGGTGGGGGTTGTTGTAGCCGGGACGAGGGCTGAGGGTTCGCCGTTGACACCGAAAGAGGCGGAAGCGGGAGCGGAAACGGTTTCCTCCTCCTCCTCCTCCTTCTTCTTCAGTGCCGCGCGTCTCAGGCGCCTCGCTTGCTCGATCGCCTCGGCGGCGGTCTGCAGCCCCTCCCTCTCCTCCTCCTCCCTCCTCCTCCTCTCGGCGGACCGCAACCCCTGCTGAATCTGTCGCTGTCGTTCTTCCCGTTGGTACTGTTTCTCTTCCTCTTCCTCTTCCTGCTGGCACTGCTGCTGCTGCTGCTGCTGCTGCTGCTGCTGCTGCTGCTTCTGTCGCTGTCGTCGCTCCCGTTGGCGCTTATCCTCTCCCTCTTGCTTCTGTTGCTGATTTCGGCGTGAAGCAGAAGAAGACGAACGAAACCGGACGCGCGTCTGCGCGTGATCGGGTGCATCCTCCTCCTCCAAGCAGCCCCCGCCCTTGCCATCGCCTGCATCGCCACCCAGCCTTCTTCTCGATGATGAAGCCTCCTCTCCTCTCCCGCGATCCCTTCCACCACCACCCTCACCTGTGCTCACGACGCTGCTGCGGGCAACGTTGTCAGTCGCGCTCGCTTGACTGTCCCGTGTCCCCATGCCCCATCCAGCATCAGCCTCCGCGTGCTTGTTGGCTGCCCCCTGCCCGAACGAAGAGGTGCCCCTGTCTTGATCTTGCGACGACCTCTGCTGCTGTTGCTCTGGCTCTTGCTGCCGGTGCCGCCGCCGATGCCGCTGCTGCTGTTGCTGCTCTGGCTGCTCCTCCTCCTGTTGTTGTTGTTGTTGCTGCTGCTGCTGCTGTGGCTGCTGCGGCTGCTGCTGTGCCTGCTGCTGCTGCTGAGGCTGCTGCGGCTGCTGCTGTGGCTGCTGCTGCTGCTGCTGCTGCAGCCTCTGCTGTAGCTGCCGCCTTCGTCGGTCGGAGTGCGATGCCTTCCCGCTAACGTTGTTCAGGTATTCAACCACGAAACGAACGCAGTGCAATGAGGGCATACCGTCAGAGCGAGCCATCACACATGAATGTATTGGATTTCGCCCAGGTACAGTCGGGTCAGCTGGTATTGCAACTGTACTCGATTCTCGGGAATTCCGGATAACTCGTGGTATGCCCAACGGAAGGTGGACTTCAATACAATACGTGGGAAGTAGGTTGCGCGCTATATTAATCTGATGAATTCAACAAAACGGTCCACTGGGGTACAGCGTGCGAGTCGCTGTTGATACATACATTATTGCCCAGGCACCGTCGGTTCAGCTGGTGGTCTCCTAAACAGCTAGAACGGAAAACGGTCGTGGAAGGTGCAGCGCGCAAGTTGGTTCAAAGTCGTGGACCTCCCGACATACGGCCAGCCCGTGAGTTCGACACCACAAGGAGAGGCAACACATCACACCCCACACAGCATGTAGACCGATTGTCGAAGCTCGTTTACTCCACGACGAAGAGGATGTCCACATCAACCGAATCAGTAGGTACGTTTTCGGAAAGCTGTCGACCGACGGTTCCAACGCATCCTTCTTCTGCACCGCCGCTCTCAATCGACCTTTGAACATAGATCGCTCCAGGGGCGGGTGGTATCTTGCGTCATACGGGTTTGCGAGAATAACCATCACTTACGCCAAAGAGGAGGCGGCAACAAGCTGACGACACCGACATGCACTCTTGTACAGTACAACACCAACTGACGGACAGGTTCACAAGGAGGATAAGGATAACAGGGCAGGGAAGATGACGGGGGGCACTGCGTGTGTGTACACCGAGGAGGAGCGTTGGGTACCCCCGAACACGAAAATATCCCCACAGAGCCGACGGGTGCATACGGGCATGATGCCCTGTGCACCAACAACCTCAACCTTGCAACTAGCCTGTCGACAAGCGGGCACCGTACTCAAGCTAAGCCACCCGCTCCCTTGGCCCCTTCCTCCATCATCCGAATAAAAACCATCGCCATCGCCATCACCATCGCCGTCTGTTTGACGGCACAACAAACCATCCCCGAAACAGTCAAAAGTGGTTATCGTGCTTGTCAACAAAAGTTAACACCCGAGTCCGTTAAGCTTTCTGTCAAAGACACGAACATGCCACGGTCTCCGCCTGTTCATTGTGCAACACTCACGTGCTGGTTTCTCCTTCCGCGTTCGGCCCCATCGTCTCGTCCTCCTTTCCGCCGTCACTCCTGGCCCTTGCCCAATTCGCACCCGCCACACGCTCCTCCTCCTGCTCCTCCTGCTCCTGCTCCTGCTGCTCCTGCTGCTCCTCCTCATCCTGCCTTTGGCCTCGCCCGCCCCCCGCAACCCCGCTCCCCTTGACGGCAACGCCTCCGTCATCCGAAGAAAATCTTCTACGGGGTGAATCCGACTCCGACGCTGCTGCGGTCGTCATGGTGTTGGTCGTCTCAGAGAAGCAAGACACCACCACCTCGTTCAAGTCCATCTGGGAAAGCAGGGCCGCTTCTGGTGCTGCAATATAGCGAAAAAGGGTCGGGGAAAACTAGATTGTTGAGGCCCCGTACTAGCAAACGCCGACAAATCATTTGGTTCTTATTTTTTACTTTTCTATTTTGTGACCCAATGCAGAGCCTTGCCCAAATCATGGGGCGGGGTGCTAATACTCTTCACGGGGGCTCGGTACCGTATACCTACATGTGTATACATGTACGCAACTCTTTGAAACGTTGTCGACGATTCACGCCCCTCCCTCACACGCTACAGCACCGCAGGAAACACACCTCACATCGTGGGGTTCCAGCGGAAGCCTCACCTTTCCCAGCCCCTGCCGCCACCGAGGGCAACGAGTCCACTCGCGGATAAGTCCAAGAGGGGGAGGAGGAGGCAGAAGGAGACCCAACAGACTGCAGCACTCCGCTCACTCCCACCCCCGCCGTCGTCGACGAGACCACCGCGGTGAGCGTATTTTCCCCCACGGCCACCGCGAGTGAGCGGACGTCGCTGCTGTTGTTGCCGTCTCTCGTGGCAGCTGCAGCGGTCGGCGCCGGTCCCGTAGTCGCAGCAAGGCGTGAAGAGTCGCCGTCTCGCACGGACAAGAACGCCTCCGGGAGGGACCGGTCTTTTCGTGGAGGATTCGCGTCGGCGGTGGGTGACAGTCCCGCCTGCTCCGATTTCGCCGCCTCTCCTCGCTCCCGAAGGAACTCGAAGGCTTTCGCCTGAACAAAACGGACAGTCAAATTGTCGCGAAAATTTTCGAGCGGTTGTGCTGGGGGGTCATGATCATACGAGAGAGGATCGAGACGGGCCGGCGTGGAGAGGCCGGCCGCGTGTTCCTGGCCAGCATAGCTCCCGAGCAGCCCATCGCCACAGCAGCAGAAATATCGCTAACCGTCTGCACGCCACGACAGGGGTGTTCTGGACCACAACCGATGGTCGTGGTGAGTCGAAATCATTGCAACGCGATCGTATAATAGTGCTACGGCGGTGTCTACAAGGGGGGCGGAAACGGGTTCCAGAAACAAACTACTCCCGGCGGAATGAATCAGACAGCCGGGGTTCCGTCTGAGGGATCCCAGTGTTGCTGTTGCTGTTGCTGCCGTCATTCCTCTTGGTGGTGCCAACATTCAAGGGTGACGGTAACAAAAGCGAAAACGACGCCCACCTTCGTAACAGGGTTTCGATCAGAATCCAACCAATGGTGTAGTACATATTGCTTAACTTTCACTTGGTTTAAGAGTACTTCTCCCTTACCTAACAAGAGGGTTTCGATGAGAATCAAATCACGGTGCAGTATCTATAGTACTTCTGAAGCAATAGTAAAAAAACACGACCTCTACCACTGTATTCTAGAGTACCTCTCCCTCTAGACCCTCTGGGAGTTCGTTACCTAAGCGCGTCGGAAATTTCTTATGGTCACCCTTGCTGCTTCTCACCTGAAGATCGGCGTACGTCAGCGCCTTCATCGCTCTCGTCAGCAGGTGTGCGTACGCCTTCGCCCTCACCAGCTTGTGCGCGGCCTGCGCCTTAGCCTCTAGCTCCGCCGCTGCCTCCTCCGGGCCAACAGCTTCCCCCCCGGCAGTCACCATTGCCACCGCCATCCCTTTCCCGCTAACCTCCATCACCTCCCGGTACAGCGCGGCCGCGCCGCACGGGCATTCCGTCGGATCGCGCCCGAACCTCCCGTTGTCGAGCGGGGACGCCCTGCCCCCGGCCCCCGGCGGCAGTATTGCGCGCGCCTTTCCTCTACCGCCATCGGCAGCCGCGGCGGCGGTGACGACGCTAAGCGCCATCGGGACACCGGCGGTAGCCCACGGCTTGGTTGCTAAGGTGCTGCTGCCGGGGATGATAGCTTGCGGCGGCGGCTCAAGGTCCTGATCGGGCGACGATGAGGTCGAGGTCGGGGAGGCCGGGGTGAGCCTGGCGGAAGGAGGCGTCGCCCCGCCGCCGCCGCTTCGGTCCTTCGGGGCGAAGGCGGAAGCAAGCGTGGAGCCGTTCCCGACGCCCCCGGACGACGCAAGCGAGCTTAGCGCCGAGCCTATCGAGGACCCGAACCACGCCATCGCAGACGACGCCGCGATCGGAGGCGCGGGCGCGGTCGCTGCTTCCGCCGCCTGGTCCTCCTCCTCCGACCCCTCGCGTTCGGGGCTGCTGCAGTGAGGTATCGAGTGCGGCCGACAGTTGTTGCCCCCTCCTCCTCCTCCTCCTCCTCCTCGAGCAATCGGCAGGGACAAAACCTTGAACACCCGCGACCCAGCAGGTGGCAATCGCGGCTGCTGCTGCTGCTGCTGCTGCGGCGCCCCCACGCTGCCATCATCAACAGCCATGGGTGCCGTCTCCGCCGCCGTCTGCCGCGGCGGCGGGGCGCCGCCCAAGGAGCTGCCGCTGCTCAAGCTGCGGCGGATCAACCGTGAAGGGGCGCGCAACAAGGACGACGACGTTGACCCTAACGCCTTCTGCTCCGCCCTACCGCTGCCGCGCAACCTCGCCCCGCGTTTGCCATCGGCGCCAGCTTCCGACCTTCGCTTGGGGCTTTGGCCAGGGCTACTACCGCACGCCGAGTCCGCGCGTGGGGAAACCGACCTGGGGCGTTCTCCTCCTCCCTGCTTGCGCTCGCCGGCAGCCGCCGACAAGTGGCTCACCCCGTTGCAGCGATCACGGTCGCGGGATGTGGCCAGGAGGTGGTGGTGCCAGCGGTTTTCGAAGTCAACGCCGCGGGCGCAAGTCCCGCACACTTTATTATGGCACGGAAAACAGTAACAACATTTAGGGGTGTCAAAGCGGAAAATTTCCTGTAGGAAAAAATTCGAACAAGCGTCCTCGGATCTTGCTGATGGAAAATCGACCAACCAATTAATTGCACGGAACCGTCGGAACCTCCCGAAAAGACCCTCTGACGCACACGCGCGAGGGCGCGGCTCGCCTGTGTGCTTTGCGCCCTGCTATGGGGCACAGCACAACGCCATTGCGCGGTCCCACTCTAGAACACATGCCTCATGACACACCCGAGCAGCAGCCGGGCGGTGAAGCCACGCAGACACCTGCCGCCGCCGCTGCTGCTGCTGAAAAAAACAACAGCAGCAGCAGCAGCGGCGGCGGCGGCGGCGGCGGCGGCGGCGGCAGCGAGGTTGAGCCTGGCTCTCTTCCACAATTTTCTTACTTTTGACCAACTCCTCCTTCGTTTCCTCCAGCGTTCTCTCTACGACGGTGAGGCTGCCGCGTTCGATAGCGCGCCGCGTGTTATCTTCTGCTGACGCGGCAACCATACACTGCCCCGTCCTCTCTTCAAACTTCGTTTTGTTTTGATTCAGCTTTCGCGCAGCGCGCCTCCTGCTGCCGAACGGCGCGGACC